TGGGTGGGGGGTTCAGAGATGGCTGATCAGGCCGACTTTCGCGTGAATACATCTGTTTCAATGGGGGCAGGGGAGAGGGGGTGGGAGGCGGTGGTTGAACTAGGCTGGAAGCTATACGCAAACGTTTCGAGCCCCCATCAAAACAATCTACACCATATGAGTTGGCAAGTTTCTCTAACCCGTATACATTAAGGTAGACTATAACTAGAGAGGGTTTACAGTAAGATCTTCCTTACAGTAACATTACTGTATATAACTCTCTGCTACAGCATCACAGCAGAAGGAAGGAGACACTCTATACTGAGGGTGAACGAGAAGGCAGATTACTTCCATCCTGTCTGTCACGGCCGACGGGCTCAACGAGGGATGGATTGGGAACAACATCCCCGAAGAAGGGTAATGAAACCACCCCCCGAGGCGGGAATCGAACACACGTCTTCAGAGCGCAATGGCAAAAAACCACTACTTGGGAAACAACATCCAAATAGACAGACGATGACACAGACCACTTTCCCAGGTGAGAATCGAACTCATGTCTTCAATGCTTTGTTTTGTATTTTCTTTATTGCCACACAATTAGGTTATATAAGTGCCGAACATTACAGCTGGTGTTAAAAAGAGAGCAACAAACACAAAAAAGAAATAAGAGGGTTAAGGACAACAGAGATGGTTTTCTTTATTGTTGAAGGAAAAAAAAGAGTAATCCACACCAGAGGACCCGCCCACCACCCAATGTCTCCAACATGCTAAGGCAAGAACTGCGACTCGGGAGCTACAACCCAGTAAACAGACGAAAACATCATCTTTTTCAGGAGGGGATTGAACTCATCTCCAGCGAACAACGATGCTTTGTCAAAAGGTGAAATGGTTGACGGTTAACGCCTCTATCCACCCTGATATGTTATTTCAAAAGCGGGAACTTCGAGTTTAACGTCCATCTCCGAAAGGACCGCACCAACCGGGAATTTCGAGCAACGTGTCTTCCCCAAGGACACAACGTCGGACCTCGCTGGTGCTTGAACCCCCGAACCCGCAATCTCACGATTCCGGTTCTGGTAGCCTAACCACTAGGCCACCAACGCCACCATGCTTTTTTATTTTTATGTTATCGCCCAGTTATTATAAATATTTCTCCGGTATCGCCAGCTATCAACAAAGTCGGCGCCGTTTGGTCAGCTCTTGGGGGGAGAGAATTAACGGCACTCGTCACAAACATTAGTCACCACCGCATGGGGGTACGGAAATATGCGCCGGATTTTATTGGTGGTATCGATGATAATGATGATGCTGGTATCGAATAAGCCA